CTTGGCGAACCTTCCCCAGGGCCAGCCTGCAGGTGGCCAGCCTGCAGGTGCCCAGCCTCCCAGGGTCTCGTCCCTTGGAGGAGGATCTGGCCTCCTTCCCTGCCTGCCCAGGAGGTATCCAGCAGCAGGAGACTGGCAGAGGTCAACGTACGCTCACCCTGGCCATCCCACCAGACACCAGTTCTTCCAGGAAGGCTTAAGGCCATGCCTTTCAGGGCCCACTGGGCTTTGAGCCCTGGTGACCTGTGGTCTGCAGCTCTGTCCCCTGGAGGAGTGAGCCGCCCTGTCCCACATGGTCCATGAATGTTTGTGGTTGGTTAGCTCTGCAGGGACAACATGGGCCGAGACTGATTTATTTCCCTCGAGATGTGGCCTCCTAAAGGCAGAGCACATGGGAAGTTTGCCAGGCCAACGCCCAATAGCCTGGGGGAAAGTGCGCTCTCCTTTGCACCCTCAAGTGTCATTGGAGATCTTAGGCCTCGAGGCTGGTGCCTGGTGCTGGTTGAGGCCTCAGATCTGCCACAGGCAAGGGAAGGAGGCTCAGAGAGGGCCAGCAACTGGCCAGGCTCACCTAGCCCCAGAGGGCAGCTTAGGTAGGCTCTGACTGTCCCAGCCTCTGTGTGACATAGAAAGATGCAGGACTCAGACCAGGGGCGCCGCGACAAGACGGCCCTGGGGCAGGGAAAGAACCAAGCCACCATAAGGGTGATGGGGGCACCGCCACGGAGAGCAGGCTCCCGGGAGCAACCCTCAGTGCTTGGCAGGAGCTGGTGCTGCACTTCCTCGAGTCACGGGTCCCCAGCCCTTTCACCTTTTATTCTAAAACAGTTTCTCACTAGGCAGCCCACATGGGCTTGAACTTGTGATCCTTCTGCCTCAGTCTCCCAGAATGCTGGGATGAAGGGCCCATGTGACCAGCCCAGCTGTTGTCCTATCTCTTCTTTAGATTTTCGTTGATATGGGATCAGGTGCGCTGCAGTGTTGGAGCTGATACCCACAGTATGCCAGTCGAGCCAGGAGCTAGCATTTCCACATCCCTGAATGCTTCCTTCCCCCGCTGGGCTGTCTCTGCCATTATACCCATGAGGCGAGCACCACAGCCCATGAGGAAGGACAATCACCCCAGTCCCACACAGTGCCCCCCCAGCCTCCCTCACCCCCTTTGCCAGCTAGCACACTGCCTTCCGGAAGGCTCCGAGTAGAGGTGGAGCAGAGTCAGCCCCTACCCCGCCATGTCCTGCTCGGCCACCTCCTGTCTCTCCAGGTCATCTGTCCTTCCATTCATACGTCCAGCGCCCACCAACCCACCAGGCACCAGCAATGCCCCCACCCACCGGTGGCCTGCCTGCTCCCCAAATAGAGGGGGTGATGGATGGAGACAGGATTAGCCTGGCTTGGGGGCCCTGGTGGTGCCAGGAGCGAGCAGGCACATTCCAGGAAGGCTTGCGCTGATGGATGCCCGGAGGGAGGGAGGCCAGGAGGCCGGGAGGGCGGGGATTCCTGACATTCCTGGGGCTGGGCTGCAGAGCCACCATGGACAGGACAGCACACAGCGGTGGAGAGCCGAGAGCCGGCCAGGCGAGCCTTCTCTGTCCATCCACACCCTCAGCCCAGCCAGGAATCTTATCTGCTGGCTAATCACGCTAATCTAATCGCCTGCAGCCCAGGAGCAGGGACCTGTGCTTCCCCACTCCTTCCTGCTGGGTGGGGAGCCCGCTGGGTGTCCACACAGGGGGCCTGGGGCCCCAGCCCTTCTGGGGCACAGTGAGGACCCCCGAGGCACCTGGCTCCATGGTATCCCCAGCAGGGCCTGCACTGTACCCACTGCCACCCAGGGTTCCACAGTCAAGAGTCATGCCTCAGGGGCTCAGTCTCTCCAGCTGCAGAAAAACTGGTTGGACACTGGTTCCGAAGGCCGCTCCGGGGATGAAGGGGCTACGGAGCCTCCCTGGGCAGCAGGGCAGGGTTGCTGGGTGGTGGAAGAAGGCCAGCAGCCGCTGCTGCATCGGGCCATCCAGACGCTGGGTTGTTCCTGGTTCCCTGCCCAGCCACAGCTATTGCTGTGCCCCCTGGTGGCAGCAACTCAGCCCCTGGCCATGGCCTCCCCAACTGTGCAGTGGGCTGCTCTCTGGGCTATATGGGCCTGGCTATCTCTTGCTGGGCTCCCCTGGCTTGGCCAACCTCGCCCCAACCTGCACCAGATTCTAGGCTCGGCAGAGGCCCCTCGGGGGGCCTGAGGACCTCTGAGGCTGCAGAGCTCTGTGTGATTCTTTCCACGTGGCATTTCACCTGGTGCCATAGTGTAACTTGGTTGTTGTGATGATGATGATTTGCAGTTTGGGGACTGAACTCAGGGCCTTTGCACTGAGCCACATCCCCAGTCCTTTATTTTATTTATTTATTTTGAGACGATCTTGCTAAGTCACTAAATTGCCCAGGCTGGGCTCAAACTTGCAATCCTGCCTCAGCCTCCCAGAGAGCCGGGATGACAGGTGTGCGCTATCATGCCCAGCCATAAGTTGCTTTTCTAATTTCAGTCTTGTAGCCAGTGCTGCTGTGGTCACACCAGGGGGTCCACTGTGGCCAGAGCCTTGTGTGTCTGTGACCTGCAGATCCTCTGTGTTGCTTCTGTTCTTCCTGAAACAGGAAGCCAGGACAGTGTGGGCAGGCGGAGGACAGAAGCTTTGCCCAGGGGTACGGTGGAAACCCCCGGTGTCCTTGGCGCCGGCCCCAGCAGAGCTTCCTGGACCTCGACGTCCTGCCGAGCCCGGGGACCCGGCCATCCCATGACTTCACCTCCTCCATGGGACTCCTTCAGCCAAATCAAACGAAAACAAAACCTTTGCCAGCATTTTCCCCACGGAGCAGGAGCAGCATCAAAAAAGCTAAACTTAGCCTACGTGCCGAAGGACTAGACCGAGGGACTCAGTTTCTAGGGGCGTGTATCATTCCAGACAGAGGCAGAGTGCAGAGGTGTAGACCCTGTCCAGGCTTTGAGCACTAGTAGCTGCAGATCCAAGGGCGGCCCTGTGAACCTCTCTGGTCTCTAAATGGAAAATCCCACTTTAAATGGCTGTGTAGACAGTGTCAGAGGACAGTGCATGGACAGGCCAGCCAAGCATTGTTCCTGGTCCTTTCAAATACTGTGGCCTGCAGTTTGTAACAGCCAAATAAATGCTCATCAGCTAGTGAATGGATACAGAAGATGTGGTTGCTTTTCACACAATGGAGTACTCTGCCATAAAGAGGGATAAACTCGAGACATTTCTAGGTAAATGGATGCACCCTGAGACCAAACTTAAGTGGAATAAATCGGACACATGTGTGAATACTGCATTGTTTCTCTGCTGTGAGAAGCTGACAGTGTAAATATGGACCAAAATGAATAATAGGTGTTACAAAATAGAGAGAAAATGTTCAAATAATGGGGGAACAAGGGAGAGAAGGGGAAAGAAAAGTTTTTAAAAAGTTAGAAAAGAAGGAAAACAGAAATAAAGTTTTTGTAAATAGGGAGGAAAGAAGGGATTAAAGAAAGGGGAGGGGAAAGGAGGAAAATCCACATTTTAGTATGTACAAATTCCCTATGAGGAACATGATCATTATGTGTACCAATAGAATCTGATTGGAGAAAAAAATATTGTTGCCTAGCCAGGCGTAGTAGTGCGCCTAGATAATTCCAGCACTTGGAATTTCAGCACTTGGACTGAAGCAGGAGGATTACCAGAGGGGTTAGAGGCCAGCCTAGGCTACACAGAGAGTTCAAGACCAACCTGAACTGCATAGTGAGATCCTGTCTCAAAAAACAAAAGACCTCCCCAACAAAATACTGTCATTTGGGGGCCTTGGAAAACAAATTGTGTTAGTTACTTTCTTGATGCTACAACAAAACACACAAGGAGGAGAGGTTTATTCTGGCTAAGGTTTCAGTCCAAGGTCGACTGCTCCAAAATAGCAGGACACAGCAGAGGGGCCTGGCGAAACTGCGCCGCTCACAGCGTGGAACACAGGAAGTGCAGAGAGGGTGGGGCCAGGGAGGGAGATGACTCTTCCAGGCCACGCCACAGGCCCACCCTTCTGAAATCTGCCTTCCCAGGATAGGTGAGTGACCTGATAATAGCGTTCCCTGGGAGATGAAGCACAGCAGAAAGAATTCTGGTTGTGATACTAAGTTACATCACCGGTCCTTTTTTTCTCCCCTATTTTGAGATAAGATCTTGCTACCTTTCTTAAACTGGGCTTGATCCTGGCTCCTCTTACCTCAGCCTCCCAGGGTGCTGGGATTACAGCTGTGTGTCACCGTGCCTAGATTAGAAACTTACTCCTGTTGCTGTCTCCTCGACCTGAACGAACTTGGCTTGTCCTGTTCCTCGGGTTCTGCCTTGATGTGCCCACCCTGAAGGGTCTTGTGTCTCTTTAGACTTCCTTGCTCACAGCCTGGCTCCAGTGCCTCTCTGAGCTGAGGCCAAGGGCTGCACTGCACAGACTCATTCAAGGTCAGAAGCAGGATCCATTCACCTCCACACCACACGTCGCTGGAAGGAAGCAGAAGTGGACAGTAGATCGGCTACTATAGGTGCAAGCCGGGTGTCCCGGAGCATGCCGCCGAGTGTGGGGACTTGCCTGAGTCGGGTGGCGTGGCGTTATGTGTGACGTGAGTCTCACAGAGTCCAGAGTGCCTGCTTTCCTCTGGCAAACACAGCTGCCTTCTTTGTTGGTGTGAACAGGGGTTCAGAAGAAATCGGGGCACAGCGTAGTGGTGCGCATCTGTCATCCCAGAGCTCTGGGAGGCTGAGGCAGGATAACTGCAAGTCTGAGCCTCGCCTGTGTGCCTTAGCAAGCCCCTGCCTCAAAATTACAAAATTTATGAAAAGGGCTAGGGAAGGTGCTCAGTGGTAAGGCTTTGGGTTCGATTTCCAGTGCCAATTTTTTTTTTTAAATTTAAAGTAGGTGTCATTTCCGGTTTCTTGTGTGTGTACCTTCAGCTGAAGCCCTGGTTCCTTACCTGTGAAGTGGACCAAGACTTGCTGCGCGTGGAGCTGCGTGGGGGGCTGAGCAAGACGGACGGAGGGGCGCCGGGCTGCGCCTGGCCCCAGCCAGTTCCCAGCGCTGCAGAGCAGCCGCTTCTGCGGGTTCTCGGGCTTGAGGAGAAAAGTCGGTTCCGAAGGTTTACAGGAATCAGAACAGCGCCGAAGGCGCAGCAGCCTCCCAGCCTGTCACCCTGGGCCGGCGGGCGCCATAAGGGAGGGGTGGCTCCTGTCCTTCCTGTCCCTAGGAGGCGAGCAGGGCGTCTGCGGACCAGGCTGGGTGTCAGCTTCCTCACGGGAAAAGCGGGTCCCGGATGTCCCCAAAGGCGCGTGCGCACAGGGACCGGGCCTTTGCAAGCTGATTGGACAATGCCTGGTGAAGGGACTTCCTGGGCGTGGCCAGGAGGTTAGTCTACCTCTGGCTCCTCCCTTCTCTCCACTTCCTTTTCACCTTGCACTGAGCAGTTCTCCTCCGCCAGACCCATCTGTCAAACCACCCTGCCTTGGAGCAATCGGCCATGGATTGAGCCCTCTATAAACCGTGACTAACCGTGCAGCGAAGAAGCAAATGACTAAGAGAGGTGACAATCTGCCCTATGGCCTCCAAGACAATGATGACTTTCCAAAGAATGCAGGTTTGAGGACTCTTTGGGAACCTGGAGGGAAGGAAGGCCCTTAGGCTTGGGGCGGGGACAGGCTCTCCAGGCCCACAGAGCTGGGTGCCTGCCGTGTGGGTCACTGCTGGCTTCTCTGGCCTCTTATGCCTGCAGTTCATGTCCACAGTCATCCTTGAGTCCCTGCTTGGCCGTCTGCCCAGGCCACTGCCATGGGGCCATATTGGAGGACTTGCAGTTCCTGGGGGATGGCCATAAGAGGGGTGCGGTGCCCTTAGGCCGGGCGCAGGGCCTGGGGAGCATGTTGTATAGAGATTTGGCCCCAGGGCTGCGTGTTCCTAAATCTGTGCCTATACTCAAGCAACCGGCACCCACTGCCTGACAGTCTTTTGACCCCTCCGTCTGTCAACACCACGTGCACATTAATCCAGCCTTTTGTTTCCTGGGGTGCAGTCAGGGAGTATCCCTAGCCTGCTGTCCAAAAATAATATTTTTACTCTCCAGCAGCAGAATACACAATATCCATCCTCGTCATTTTTGAATCCCTGGCAACCACTCACACATTCTTATTTAGAACAGTATAACAATCTGACTCCTGTTTTGGCCCCTAAATTCTTTTGTCCCTTCCAGCAAAGTGTGAAATATTTGTTTCCTGGCCGCTGGACAGCGGCTGCTGGCAATGGAAAAATCATAACAAACAGAGCAGGTGGGGGCGGCAAGCCCTGAGATCCCAGGCCCCTTGAGATCAAAAATAAGTGGCTGTCAACAACTGCTTAGCGACTGTGGGTGGGTGGTGCTTTCTGGTATTTTTTTCTAATCAGGAATGGTATGATTTCAAAGGTTGTCCCTAATTCACCCCGAGGATCTCACTCCTTTTGACCCATTATGTCACTCTGGCTGAAGTCACTGCCTCTAGACATAAAATGAAGGAACACAAATAGAGCAGAGAGGCAGAAAGATTAGCCCATGTCTCAGTCATGGTTTCTGGCACTCGAAAAACACAACACATGGTAGGTTCCAGCAAAGTTTGTTGAAGAAATGAATGATCAGGAGGTTTCAAAGAAGAGGCGATACAAAAACTGTCTTTGAGGTTAAAGGGGGGCCCATGCTCAGGTAGAGGGATCACCTTGTGCAAAGCTGGGGACTGGAAGCAGTGACCACTGTGGTTCTGTATGGGTTGAGTGTACAGTGTGAGGTAGGGATCGAGGAAGATGAAGTTGTAGAAGGACTTAGATACGTTGAGGAATTTATACATGGCCCTGGTGGAGATAAGAACTTCTAAAAGCTGGAGTCACCCAATAAGTGCACAAGATAGGTGCTACATATACAGGTGCTAGGCTGTGAGACTTTTTACACTTGTTTAATTCCCCCCAAAACATAATGTATTGATTGTGGTTTTATCCTATCTTAATTATGAGATATGATTGAAAGATCTGATAAATAATTTTTTAAAATGTACTGCACTTGCACTGTGAGTTCAATTCTCTGGACACCCCTAAAAAGTATTGTAGTAAAAGACACATTGGTATGAATCTTCCTCCAGTCCATTAACCAGGTAAGTTAAGTGACCCCCACTTGACACCTGAAATATGATAATGCATATTTCTTTCATTTCTTTTTTTGTTTTTGAGACAGGGTCTCATTATGTCAGGCTAATCTTGAACTCTCCCTATGTAATCCTGGCTGGCCTTGAACTCATGGCAATCCTCCTGCTTCAGCCTCCCAAGTGCTTGGATGACAGGTGTGCACCACTACACCCCGTTACACATTGCTGTTCCTCTCTGTCCCTGGCTGTAGAGGGGCAGCATTGGCATGGGGAGGCCCTGGGGCTGCTGCCTAGCTCTCTTGCTCCTGGTCAAGGTCCATTCGTCCTCTGGTCCTGCTCTTTCCATCTGTGCAATGGGGACATGGATGCACAGAGCATCCACCATGCTCAATGGGGGCACCAGCATCTCCCTGGGGCAGATAGGACCCAGGAACGGCCAGGGCTTCTCCTCTTCCCTCCTGAGTCCCATGGAGGTGACACAGGGTTGAGCCATACTGGGGTCACCACGGCTGGGTCCCAGGTAACCCCTCAGCCCTTTTTGCCCAGGCAGGTGATGGTGACCTGTGACCCCGAGGTGCCGACCCCAGCTCTGTCTCCTGGAGCGGGCAGGTCACAGCATTGCAGCAGACAGATAAGGAGCAAAGTGGCCCATAAATCAGGTTGGGGAGAACTGGGTCCTTCGGTGCCCCAGGGAAGGAGCAGGTGGGGGCACCATCCCACTCGGTGGGCTCAGGCTTGGCAGGAAGGACTCAAGAGGTGCCTGGCCTTGGTCTCCCCAGCTGCTGAGTGAGGATGGGGGCTGTGCACTGTCCTGGGGAAGGACATGGTCCACAGTGGGCCTGGGGTGCCAGAGCTCAGGCCTCTTCTCCGTAGGCCCAGAGGAGGCCAGGTGTGGGGACCCCTCCCAAGACCCCAGCTCTGTCTAGGTGCTCATGAGACAGGAAGTGTCTCCTCCTCCATGCTCTCATCCTACCCAACCCACAGTCCGTGCTGGGGCAGGACAGGAAGGAGGGCCAGGAGCTGCGTGGCCTGGACCAGCCCTGCCTGGGGCTGCTTCTCTTGGGTCCCTGCTCCACTTCCAGCTGCCCGTAGAGTTGCAGCCTGTCTCCATTTTCCTGAGACAGAGGGGACTTGCAGGGCCAGTGTGAGGCTGCCAGGTCACTCCCCAGATCCCTTGTGGGCCTGGGTCTGGTATACTATGACGATGCTAGTCCCACACGGTGGCCCAGCTCCTCTGCTTTTAGATAATGAGTCCTTGCAGCCTCTGATTGACCCCAGGTCAGGGCTGCCCAGTCTGGTTTGCAGAGGGAGACAGAGGCTGGGGCTGCAGGGCAACTCTCCTCAGACTGAAGCTATGCCCCGGTTTGTCTTGTGCTGTGTCAAGCATTCTAGGCATCAGGGAGTGCGTGCACCTGCCAAGAAATGCGTGGTTTCTGGCGCAGATGAAAGCAGAGATTGGCTGCAGGGTGGCTTTGCGAAACTAGGGTTTAAAAGCAAAGTCTTTGCTGCTGCTTTGTGTCTCTGCATGGACATTGGGCTCGCAGGCTGGGAAGAAGCAGGACGGGGAACCTGGTAATTCCATGCCTTTGCCCTGCGGCCTCCATCAGCTGGCCACTCGGAAGCCACTTGTTTGCCAGAGACAAGTGTTTGTCCTGAAATAAATGTGGCTCCCACTTTGCCCCTTGACATTCAAGGGTCCAGGCAGGTCTCCAGGACTCGCTCTCTCGTCCTACAGTGCCCACGAGTCAGGTCCTCCCTCTCATCTCTCTCTCTCTCTCTCTCACTGTCTTTCTCCTTTTTCCTTTTCTGAGACATGGTCTCACTATGTAGTCCAGTAACTTGCTATGCAGCTTAGGCTGACTTTGAACTTGAGACCCTCCTGCCTCAGCCTCCTGTGTGCTGTGATTTACAGGCAGCACCACCACCCCTGGACAGAGACTGCTTCCTGCCTATCTCACTGTGAGCAGAGGAGGTTCTTCCTGCCCTCTAGATTCTCCTCAGGACAGCACTGCTCCCTGAGACAAAGGGACCCAGCTGGGTAGGAGGAGAGGAACTTCCCGTACTGCCTTCCAGGGCTGGGCCCTGTGTGAGGTGGGGTGCAGTGGTACACACATGTGATCGCAGCACTGGGAGGCTGAGGCAGGAGGATCGCCTCCAATTCCAGTCCAGCCTTTGATTTAGTGACTGTCTCAAAATAAAAATTAAATGGGGCTGTGGATGTAGCCTGGTGCACTCCTTGGTTTAGTGCAACATGAGAGAGAAGCCAGAAAACCAGGGATAAGCATATCTGAGAAGGTGCCCTGTGGAGTTCCAGGCTGCAGCCCCGACTCCGGAGCCTGGTGCTGGGTCTGGCTTTCTGCACCTGGGCAGCGTTGTGGGCTGACTTCTGGCTGGTGGGGACCAAGGTCCCGAGAAGGAGCAGGAATGGTCTCGCCAGGCACCAAGTATGCCCATGCTAGACCTTAACTTCCTGCCCAAGCTTCGACAAAAGCAGGTATTTGCTGTTTAAAGTACCGCATCCAGGTGTGTTCTCACAGCAGTGCCCTGGGCCCTGACTGGGCCCTAGGTAGGACCCAGGAGGCATGACAGCAGCTGTGGAGAGACTGGCATGGAGACGCAGTGGAGGGGAGGAGAGGGGAGAAGGAGAAAAGGGGAAGAAGGAGGATGAGGGAAAGGGAGGGGGAGGACGTGGGGGAGGGTCTTTAGCTGTGCTGTCCTGGCTGCCTTGATGTCTCGAATGGTTTCAAAGCCTCCCCCTATCGTGGTCATGGTGACTTTGGTGGGGAGCCAGAAGTGGCACAGTGCCAGGCCCGTGGCTGAGCAGTCGAGGCCACAGCGTCATGGGTTTTGGGGTGCCCCTTCGCTGGACGGTGCTTGGCTTTCTGCACCTGGGCAGCGTTGTGGGCTGACTTCTGGCTGGTGGGGACCAAGGTCCCGAGAAGGAGCAGGAATGGTCTCGCCAGGCGCCAAGTATGCCCATGCTAGACCTTAACTTCCTGCCCAAGCTTCGACGAAAGCAGGTATTTGCTGTTTAAAGTACCGCATCCAGGTGTGTTCTCACAGCAGCGCCCTGGGCCCTGACTGGGCTCTAGGTAGGACCCAGGAGGCATGGCAGCAGCAGGATTCGAGCCCAGCCCATGGGTACCTCATTTCCTTCACTTCCACCCCCTGGGCACTGTGGGGACTGAGGTGCCTCCAGTAGAAGCTCTCTGCGGCCCCTGCTGGAGTTGCCGAGGCTGGCTTTGGAGCCGCTGCACAGGGGACCCCGTGCCGTCACCGCTGGGCACCATCCATAACCCCGAAAGACACCTCGCCTTATCTGGCAGCCAGGTCTTCGCAGCCCCTGCATTCAGCCTGGAGAACAAAGGCACCAGGCGGCCTCAGAGTCCAAACATGCTGTCACCCCGGGTGTGAGGGCCGGGCTGTTTACAGATGGAGGAGATAGCTGGCGGAGCAGGAGGTCGGGGCTGCTCGC